TCCGCCCCCTCCCACCACCAAATTACTGAAAGTGAAGGAAAGAAAGAAAACAAACAGGAAATACATGAGAGGAATTAAAAAAAAAAAAAAACAAAGACAAAGGCAAAAAAAACAATCCGAATGAAAAAAATACTTCACAAGAAGAGGTTAAAGATACAACAGGTATTAATAACAGTTAGAATAGACGAATAAAGAAATACATAAATGAAGGCGATACACGCATCCTCAGACCAATACGAAAAAAAAAGGAGAGAGCTTCATTATTGGTTGTTTTTTCTTGTATTCTTACAGAGGGAAGATAATATTGGAGAACAAAAAAACATATTCGACCGAAAAGGATTAAAAAAAAAAAAAAAAAAGAGATACAACAACTCACTACACCTATCGATTTTTTCCTTACACTCCCCACCCCTCCTATCGGATACTCTCTCCAGAGACTTTCTTCTTTTTCACTCTCTCCGACTATCTCCCCTCTCCCTCCCTCGTTTATTATTATTTTTACAATTTCTCTCTTAAATCTGTTGATCTCCCATCACTTCACCAATGGCACGTTTTTATACCCAAAGAGTACATTTAACTGCAGATGAACACATTCACAAAAAAGAAAAAAAAAAACGGAATTCTTTCTTTTTTTCCTTTTCTTCTATTCATTGTCTTTTGAGATTACACTTCACCGTGCTTCGATTCACCTGCTTCTTTTTTTCTTTCTTCGTCCTCTCTCCTACTCCTCATGAATAAGCAAGTGGAAGGGAAAGAAAAAAAAAAAAAAAAACAGAGGAAACACTGAAAAGAATTAAGAAACAAAAAAAGAAAAAAGAACGCTCACAAAAACGCACAAAAAGAATGTGAATCACAAACAAAGAGAGAATGAGAGAGGGAGAAAAGAAAAAAGAGAAGTCAAAATATGAAAAACAAGAAAAGAAAAAACATTATATGTATCCATTTTAAAAACTTCTTTGAACTACATTTGCCCTTCCTTATTTTTTAATTTACTTTCTCTGTATGCTTACCAAATACCATATGTCCTGGGTTTATGTGTCTGTTAATCTTTCCCCAGCAACCAGAAAAGTAGAAAATCCAGCTAATATGCTGTATTCACTTCATGGGTAAAAAGATATATTCATTCAATCATTTTGATCTTCCATACAGACCACTCAATGAGAGAGAGAGAGAGAGAGAGAGATACTTTTATTTAAGGACTTAAACGTAGAACCACACAAACACACACACAAACATGTACACAGAATAACTCTGGGAAAGCTGAATATACCTAAAAATTCTTTCCACTTTCTTCTCTTCCTCGCTATGCATTTCTTCCCTACAATGTCAAACAATACATCTAACAAACACATACACGTACACACACGTAGTACGAATTGAGACTCATGTCTCACTCTGCTAGCAACTTTGTTGACCAACGCTTGCGAACAAACAATGTATACACAGCCCTTCCACAGAGTAACAGGTATAGTATCAACACTGCCATTACCACAAAAAACGCCTTGGTGTTTTCTACCGGTGGATCACCTTCACTATCAAACGGTACAGGGACATTCATCGCGTACACCGTCTGAATGGTGATAACGGGATACATAATATTTGTAAGTTCCGTAAGCAGTAACGTCTGACGCAGTGCCTTGTTACCCCGCAGCAGTAATTTCCACGTGCGTGTAACATTATGGTACCAACTTGTTACGGCAACTGTATCTCGACAATCGTTTACTTCATCACTTAAGCGAAGAATATGAGCTCTGGCACTTTCCAATTGACGACAAACAACTTTTTCGCTTGTAAGAAAAGAATCCATCATGTGTGGTTGAAGCAAAACTGAAACAATATGTTCACGTCTCGTTAACTCAGCTGCACATTCACCAAAACAGCGTCGTACATTAGCGATACGTTGTACAACTTCTTCCTGTTGTCGGGCTTCTTTTTCCACCTTAAATACATGGTCTCCCATGCGATCCAAAGTAAGTGTTAATGAAACATTGTCTAATTGATGCCCCACAACAATTTGAAATAAACTGGAAAAAATAAAAGGAGATGTTAATGGTTGTACTGAGCGTCGCATTGTTGAGGCAGAACCAGCACTTCCACAGTTGATATGTAAAAATTTAAGCAAATCACCCATTTCATGAAATGGTTTCTCATGTACTGTAATAATCCAATCTGGAAAGACCACAACCGATACGGCTACAGGAGCAGGGACAGCAGATCGCGGTTGATCTGCCATAGCCGCATCAAGACGACGTTGCATTACACTCTTTGTCTCTCCTGAACGATTATCAGCATCTTCGGGAGTGATTGGTGTACACATCAAGTTAAAAAAGAAGTATCCGAGTGCAGAGTGTGCAAGGAGACTGTCCATATTGTCTAAATAGCAACAATGGTCAATAGTGTCATGTGAAACTGGAAAACGGGAAACAATATCAGCAATAAGTTTCTTATCTGTTGTTTGGATATCCACCCATTTGGCTGCTCCATTCGGAAGTGTCGCTCTTGCGGTATTTCCATTTTCAGCAGTTAAACCTCCCTGTGGAGGCGTGGGAAACTCCAATGAGTGTTGCGCCGCATACTGAAGGAACTGATTGGATGTGATAAAATTACGGGCAAATGGCGTGGCACCACCTTGACGCTGTGAAATAAACCAAACATGCTGTGCGGCATCCTCTACGTATGCAAGACTGTTATTCTTTGAAGAATCATTTAAACCAATATTCTCAGCATCAGGTGGCTGCTGAAAACGGAGATATGGTGACCGTTTCGGGGCAGCATCTCGTCCATGTGCGAAACTTTTATTACGCAGGAATTCAACGATCTCAGCATTGCGCGTAGTGGTTTTTTCACCAGTGAAGTTAAGGAAATCTTCGTCGTGAATGTCAACACTACCGAAGAGTGCGTAGGCAAATGGGGCCTCAACGTTAGGAACTGCACGACGACGACGGCTCTTCATATTTTAGATTTTGTAACTTGTACTTTTTGTTGTAATGGGATCTTTTTTTTCCCCCTCTTGGTATCCTTTTTTTTTTTCTTTTTACTTTAGTTAACTTTGTTTCTTCTATTTTTTTTTTTTCTGCTCCTTTTCTTCTTTTTGATTCCTCAAGGATATCCAATCTATATATCAACGTATACAGGAAAAGAAATAGAATGACGGTATTTTCTTGCTTTTTTTTGTTGTTTTTGTGTTACTATCTTATCGATCTTTCTTTATCAACCTTGTTGTTTTCGCTTCGGTATAAAACTCAAATATATATATATAATCGTGGGTTACACCTTTTTTTTTTTCTTTTTATTGTGCAATCACCTCTTTCCCTTTTCCTTTATGTGTGAGTGACGCGAGGACCAAGAGAGGTGCAGCGCAACAGAATTACTCGCTCACTTATGCTTTGTTAGCGTACGACTCCAGCTTGCTAGAATAAAAATAATAACAATAATAAATATAAAGCTGCATATCGCAAAACAAAAAAAAGAAGAGAAGAAGAAAAAAAACATTTTAATAACAATAATAAAAAGAACACAAACAACAGCAACATCATCAAGAAGAAAAAAAGATAATTAACAAATACAAGAAGGTTACCAATTGATTGTTCTTCGAGATTGCTGTATACCATGCGTTGAGATAGCGACGTTAATAGACACCCCCAAACCCAAGACATACACACAGA